TTGCGGTACGCGGGCTTCTCACTGTTGTGGCCTCTCCCGTTGCAGAGCACAGGCTCCGGACGCGCAGGCTCAGTGGCCATGGCTCATGGGCCCAGCCGCTCCGCGGCATGTGGGATCTTCCCGGACCGGGGCCCAAACCCGTGTCCCCTGCATCGGCAGGCGGACTCTCAGCCACTGTGCCACCAGGGAAGCCCTAAAGTCAGTTCTTAACAGAGGCATAACTGAATGATGAAACCAGTTTTATTCCTTAATTTATTTATTTTTTTTTTTCAGGGCTGATGCTCCGGAGACCTCAGGGACTTCTTTCGGGACTCACAGAAACCTACACGCTGGTGATGGCACACAGGGACTGTTTTCTTGTTCTTAGTCTAAATGATTGCCAAGAAGGAAGGCGAAGGTAGAACCGTCGGATCTAGGGCTCTCCCCAGAGCTTCTAATCACAGACCTTATTAAACTCCTTTCTGAGCCCAAGGACAGAGTTCACCTGAACAAATGATTTTGAGTCATGAATGAAAACTCTTGCTCTTTCCATAATGAGGAAGAATTAAGAGATGGACAGGTAAGCAGGCACTTCAGTTTGGGAAAGAAGGTGTTGGTTTGGGTTATGTTGTTAATAGTAATAAGATAGAGCATACATCAAGAGGATGTGGAGCTTTAGAAATGTGTAGGAAGAATCCTCACTGTAGTTCTCTTCTATTAGAAGAAACTTCTAGTCACTTCTGAGTCAATTGCCTTTCCTGACAGCTTATTTTCTAAGTGGGCTGTGGGATTTTGGTCTGGATTTGCTTGGGTGGGAAGAGAATTTCAGGCAGAATCCCCCAAGAAATGTGTATTTCATCAATTTGGGTTGTTTACCTTACAGGCCCTTTCTCTCTTCCAATGTGTGTTTTGGCCTGACTATCGTCAGGACCCCTGATTCAATGTGCTGCGTCTTTTTTTTTTTTTCTTTTCGGCTGCACTGGGTCTTAGTTGCAGCATGCAGGATCTAGTTCCCTGACCAGGGATCGAACCCGGGCTCCCTGCATTGGGAGCGCAGAGTCTTAACCACCGGACCACCAGGGAAGTCCCCCAATGTCTTTGTGTGAGCCTGGTGGCTTACCCTGCATTCCTTACCTTTTTCACTACCTTGCCCAGAAATAGTCTTAAATGGAGCCTGTGGGATTCAGTGGCCAGAATGGGGACAAAGCCTGTGCTTTGGGAGTCCAGGGAGGTTTTTGTCACTGTTCTAAGATAGCTGAACTGTTCTTCCAGAGAACATCCATCTTTGGACACTAGAGGGGACTGAATCGGAGAGGGAAAGGAAGGATGCGATGAGTCCTGAGCACACAGACTTCTCCAGGGAGCTGTTCAGCATGATGAATTACCAGATATTTTTGAGAATGTATCTTGAGCCTAGTGCTGTGCAAATGGTCTAAGAAATATAAAACAAGTATACGAGAAGGTCCTTGCACTCAAAGCGGCAGTCTGACTGGGGAGACGGGTCTTTTGCAGAGGCCCTTGTGCCGCATACAGAGGGGCTATAGGACTTAGAGACGTGAGGGACCATTGTAGCCCCAGTTGGTAAGGTCGGCCTCCCCGAGGAGGTGGAACTGATCTTGAAGGGACCAGAAAACACTGAGAAGGTGGAGGTGGGGGCAGATTCTGGAGGAAAACCACATGACCCAAGGGCTGGAGGTGAGAGGAACTGCAGCAAATATGTTCATTGGATCAGAGTGGGAAACAATAGTGCTTAGGCATCGTGAGGCCAGTTATGAAGGAGTTAGCTCAGCTGTGGTGCGTTTAGGTGTCCATTCTTGTGTCCCAGGCAAAAAGAAATCAAAGCTGTGTTTAAGGAGTGTTAGTTGGCAAAAATATGTGGAAGGGATTAGAGTAACAGGACAATCTGGGATTCTTGGGCCTTGACATAAGCAATGATTCCTTTAATTATTATTTTTTCTTTTATTTATTTTAGAGAAAATAATTCTGCAGATGGTTCAAAATCCAAAAGTACAGAGGATGTACATATAGTGAAAAAACTGCCTTCCACCCTTGTCCCCCAGCTATACCCAATTTTCCTGATGGAGGCAAAGTTACGACTTCCTTGGATATAATTCTGGAAATAGTCTCTGTAAAGACAAGCAAACATATTTATGTGTTTTTTAGAAATTCAAATGGCAAAATAGTGTATATACTCTGCCCTCTGTGTTTTCACTTAATATATCATGAAGATTGTTCCAAATTGTCCATAAAGTACTTTCTTACTCTTTTTTATGGCTGTATAGGATCTCATTGAGTGGATATGCTTTAATTTGTTTAAAATTAGTCCATTAGTGACAACTAGATTTATCATGGCAATCATTTTGAAATGTATAGAAATATCAAATCACTGTGTTGTGCACCAGGAACTAACAGTGTGTTGTAGGTCAATTATACTTCAAAAACAAACAAATAGGGACTTCTCTGGTGGCACAGTGGTTAAGAATCCGCCTGCCAATGCAGGGGACACGGGTTCAATCCCTGGTCCGGGAAGATCCCACATACCGCGGAGCAACTAAACCCGTGCACCACAACTACTGAGCCTGTGCTCTAGAGCCAGCGAGCCACAACTACTGAAGCCTGCGTGCCTAGAGACCGTGCTCTGCAACGAGGAGCCACCGCAGTGAGAAGCCCATACACTGCAAGAGCAGCCCTCACTCGCCACAACTAGAGAAATCCCACGTGCAGCAACAAAGACCAATGCAGCCAAAAATTAAAAAGTCAAAAACAAACAAAGGAACTCATAGAAAAGGAGATCAGATTTGTGGCTACCAGAGGTGGGGGTGGAATTGGATGAAGGTGGTCAAAAGATACAAACTTCCAGTTATAAGAAAATAAGTACTAGGAATGTAATGTACAACATGATAAAGATAACACTGCTGTATATTATAAATGAAAGTTATTAAGAGTAAATCCTAAGAGTTCTCATCACAAGGAAAAAAAAAATTTTTTTCTATTTGTTGATGTTGTATCTATAGGAGATGATGGATGTTCACTAAACCTATTGTAGTCATCATTTCATGATGTATATAAGTCAGATTGTTATGCTGTACACCTTAAACTCATACAGTGCTGTATGTCAGTTATATCTCAGTAAAACTGGGGGGAAAATATAAAGTATAATAAAATAAAATTAAAAGTCCATTAGTGGACAGTCAGAGTTTTTCTAGCTTCTTGTTTTTATAAACAGTACTACCATGAATGACACTGTAAGCATGTCATTTGTACATGGATGACTATATGTGTTAGATACATTCCTAGAATGAAATTGCAGGCCCCAAATGTGCACAGCATATGTGATTTCGTCAGGTATTGTCAAGCCAGAGAGGTGGTACCAATTCAGTCTCCAGTGTCTTATAACTCTTGGTTGTCTAGCCAGCACAGTGTTACCACACTTTTTGATCTTTGTTGCTAGGATAAGTGAAAAACATTATCTCAGAGTAGTTTTATTTGACATTTCTCTTGTTGTGAGTAAGGCTGAACATTTCTTCACGTTTAAGAACTATTTGTGTTTCCTTTTATGTAAACCATCCATATCCGTGCCAGTTTTTCTACTGGGTGGGGTTTTTTCCTTAGTGATTTGTAGGATCTTTTTTTTTTTTAACATATTAGGAAAATTAGCCCTGTATTGGTGATATGAGTTGCAAAAACTTGGTTAGATGGTTTTTTAAGCTCCAGGAGGGGGAAGGTTTGGCTGAGCAGAAAGGCCAAAAGTGAGGAAACTGCTACACTCAACTTTACTTACTCAGAGCCTTGAGACCTTGAACGGAGCAAGGAAATCTGTATAATATATTAACATTAGGCTTCCCTGGTGGCGCAGTGGTTAAGAATCCGCCTGCCAATGCAGGGGACACAGGTTCGATCCCTGGTCCTGGAAGACCCCACATGCCGCGGAGCAACTAAGCCCGTGCACCACAACTACTAAGCCTGCACTGTAGAGCCACGAGCCACAACTACTGAGCCCACGTGCCACAACTGCTGAAGCCTGCGCACCTAGAGCCCGTGCTCCGCAACGAGAGAAGCCACTGCAACAAGAAGCCCGCACACCACAACGAAGAGTAGACCCCGCTCGCCACAAGTAGAGAAAGCCCACACACAGCAGTGGAGACCCAACACAGCCAAAAATAAATAAATAAAATATATTTTTAAAAAAATTTTTTAAAGATTATATTAACATTAAGCTTTTCGTGGTTTTTCTTAAGGCCGATTAAACAGGAGTTTTCCCTTACCGTATTCCTTGTAGTTGACTTCTCGGGATTCATCCATTTTGTGTGTGTGTGTTATTGGAAAAAGGTGTGACGTTTAAGCTGTCATCTTTGAGGGACTGCTACGTGCCCAGGAGACTGACTTTGGTTTGTCTTGCAGGTTGAAGGTGTGTCTGCTGGGTACCCTCCACCATGTGACAAGGACAACAGTGCTCTTCTGGCTTTCAGGGGAATTCCTGTACGTATCACCCACACCTCAGTGCTTCCTGTCGGCAGAAGCTTGTGTTACTTGCTGCTATGTGGTGCCAGGCACCAGGACACAGGATGGCACAGACCCTGCCTTCCAGTAGCTCACACTTTGGATGGGGGGGTGGGGACGGCACAGGCATGCAAAACAACCTCTATCTAATAAGATACTTGTTATAATGAGGCAGAACATAAAGCGCGGCAGGAATACCGAAAGCACACCTCTGTCTCAGTTGAGTGGATTTTTGTCTGTTTGCTCTCCAAGGAGGGCATATATTCATACTTGTCCTCGCGTCACTCAACTGCTCCGTCATAGTTGGCATGTTCCGGGTGCTTCTCTTTAAGATTGGCTTTAACCAACCCATGTGGGAAGACTAGATTCTTCTGGCCTCCAGTTTCGAGGACACTCGGTACATCGGGTGGGACTTGTTTGTGTGGGTGGGGGGACGTGGACTCTGCCCTCATACTAAGGGTCAGCTGCCCCTACAGATCTCAGAGTTGAAGAACCACGGCATCCTCCGGGCCCTGACGGCAGAAACGAATAATGGCTGGGAGCCGGCTGGTAAGTCCCCCTCGGAACCTGGGTGGGACTCAAGGTGGAGCTCCCTATGGGTCTGCTTTTCCTCATTTGAATTTCTCTCACTACTTTTCCTGTAGAATTTTTTTTATATATATATAAATTTATTTATTTAGTTTTGGCTGCGTTGGTCTTCGTTGCTGCGCGTGGGCTTTCTCTAGTAGCAGTGAGCGGGGTCCACTCTTTGTTGCTGTGCGCAGGCTTCTCTCTGCGGTGGCTTCTCGTTGCGGGGCACGGGCTCTAGGTGTGTGGGCTTCAGTAGTGGCACGCGGGCTCAGGAGTTGTGGCTCGCGAGCTCTAGAGTGCAGCCTCAGTAGTTGCGGGGCATGGGCTCAGTAGTTGTGGCTCGCGGGCTCTAGAGCGCAGCCTCGGTAGTTGTGGCACACAAGCTTAGTCGCTCCGCGGCATGTGGGATCTCCCCGGACCAGGACTCAAACCCGTGTCCCCTGCATTGGCGGGCGGATTCTTAACCACTGTGCCACCAGGGACGCCCCTCCTGTGGAACTTCATAGAGTTATCATCCTTCAAGGGAAGTTAGAGACCTGAGTTCTAATTTGGCTCCACAAGCCCTGCCGGTAGCTTGCTGTGTGCCTTTGGGGCAAATCATATAATCTCTGTGTCTACAGTGGAAATATTAGTACCTCCTTTGTCCTCAAAGGGATGTTGTGATAATGAAATGAGACAGAGTGGGTGAAAAGCCTTTGAAAAGTTATCCTGTTTTATCTGCTTGACATGGCTCTTCCCATACTGTATTTAAAGCTCATTCCACTTGCTAATTTGTTACACAGAAAAACACACTCACCAATTCAGAAGAACCAGCTCTGGAGTCAGATATCTCTGGCTTAAGTCCTGCCTCTTTCACCCATCAGCCCTATGACCTTAAGCAAGTAACTTAATCTTTCTGACTCTCACTTTCCTCATCTATAAAATGGATTATATCAGAACCTGTATGATAGGAGTTGTGTAAGGATTAAATGAGATAATGTAAAGTGCTTAGCACGCAGAATGTAAATCATAGTGAGCGCTCATTGGTGTGCATTGTTATCTTTAAATTCTGTAAACTGAAAATGTAACCTCTAAGAATATGGGGTCTATTAAAAACATTCCAATGTAGAAAAATTACATGGAGGTCTGTAAAGTATCTTTTAATTGAATTTTGTCTTTACCATGTGGTGACAAACCTAACATTTATTAGAGGTGTTGCCTTAAATGCTAAAATATTTTCTATTTCAGTGCAACTGGCATTTATGTGCCAGATATATTTTTGTGTGTGTGTGGTACACGGGCCTCTCACTGTTGTCGCCTCTCCCATTGCGGAGCACAGGCTCCAGACGTGCAGGCCCAGCAGCCATGGCTCACGGGCCCAGCCGCTCCGCGGCATGTGGGATCTTCCCGGACCGGCGTACGAACCCGTGTCCCCTGCACCGACAGGCGGAACTCTCAACCACCGCGCCACCAGGGAAGCCCCAGATATTCTTAATCATACTAAACAACTACAATTTTTTCCCCAGGTTGCTCTCAGCTAATTTAAACTGATAGGCTGACTAAATCAGCTGTGCCGTTTACTATGTAAATAAGTAGAAGCGGGCCTAAATAAAGGAGGCAATTGCCAAAAGGAAAAACGATAAAGAGCCGTGCTAACGTGAGCTGGGTTTCTTATCCTGGAGGTTTGTGCTGTGGCTCCTCGTTCTTCTGTCAGTTTAGGGGAAAAATAGTATTTATGTCAGGATCATCTTCAGAGGTGGGAGTCCTGAAGGAACCAGGAAAGGAGAGAGCTGCTCTTACACGGGTTGGATGTTTGTCTCCAGTTTGGGCACCAGATTGCATTGCTGCTTGAGACCTTGGACTTTCTCTTGACTACCTTGCTGTCACAGTAAAAGCTCCCACCCCCTTGCCTGTGAGGTTTGTGCTCCTGGCTCACCACCTTTGATCAACTCGTTTGTAGGTGAAGGTGTGTGGGGTGACAGATTGATCGAGTTGCTCATAATGATCTGAAGGGTGACAAGTCAGTGAAGCTGGATGTGGACGAGGGGTGAAGGGTGGGGAGCTGCTTCTCAGCGTCGTGATGAGATCCATGGCTGCTGTTCCGCTCTTTTTGTTTAGCCACTTTGTCCCTCTTTTTCATCTCCCAAGGGTCCAGCATGCTGGAAGTAAGTTTTCTTTTCTTCACTGTCGCAGGTTGAGTGTTCTGTATTCTGTTGAAGTTACCTAGTTTGGAAGCCCTGGTGTAGTCTGCTACCCCGGGCTGGGGCTGGCAAGATTGAATGTCCTAGAGGTCCAGGATTCAGGACCCCGGACCCATCTCATCTGCTCCCACCGTCCACATCCCTGCCAGACCCGAGCCCACAACTGCGTCAGTGATACTAGCTGATGTTTATTGAGCAAGTGGCCTTTGGGCCACATACTCCCCTAGAATCTGAAGAGTTACGTCCTCCTCACAATAGCTGGAAGAGTGATTACCAGTGGTTAAGTGACCTGCCCAAAGAAGTGCAGCTCGTGAGGGACAGAGATGGAAGGTTGACGAGCTGTTTGGCTCTGCGCTGTGCTCTGCCAGCTGTGTCCTCCGGCTCCCCAGCAGCCTCCTTGTCCTCGTTATCCTTTAGTGTTTTGAGTTTGGGGTAGCTTTTTCTTTAATTTGCAAGTATACTTCTGTCATGTGAACGTCCTCAGCCCGGATTGCGAGGCAGAGGGGAGCTGTCCTAACCTGCTTTCACCACCCAGGCTAGAAGGCTCACGAGTTTGGGTGTCAAACGGAGGTCTCTCCAACCTGCGCACTGTTGGCCAGTGTCCTCCGTAGCAAATGGGGAAAGCCAGTGATGGGCCATGCTGCCAGCAGTCTGGCCCAGAGAGTGGCAGCTGTGGTGTGGGGGAGAGGGCTGTGTGGTGGTTATAGAGCGCCTGTCCTGCTGCTTTTTTCTTCCGTTTCCCCCGCTTCTGTTGTGCTTTCATTCATTCATCACACATTCATTGTGGGGACTTCCCTGGCAGTACAGTGATCAGGACTCTGCACTTCCACTGCAAGGGGCATGGGTTTGATCCCTGGTTGGGGAGCTAAGATCCTGCATGCCGCGAGGTACGGCCAGAAACAAAACAAACAAACAAAAAACAACAACAACAAAAACATTCATTGTGCACCTGTCATGTGTCAGGCTCTCCGAACCCTACCTTCCTGTGGCTCGCAGTGCAGTGGGCAAGACAGTTTGCAACATGGTGGTAAGCATGGGGTGTCAGGGTCTCTCATGGAGCAGCTCCTAACGCAGATTACAAAGGCTAAAGAAGGCACCCAGGTGAGGGTGATACCGGAATTGGCTGAAGGATGAGATGGAACTGCGCTGGAAGGGGCTGGAACTGAAGGTGGGAGAGCGGGGTGTGCAAAGGCACCCAGGGCGGGTGTTGAGAGACTTCAGGTACTTCTGGATGCCCTAGGACAGAGCCAGAGAGGTAAGAAGTCTCCCGATTGTGAAGAGTTGGGGTTTCATCTTGAGAATTATGGAGAATCCCTGGAGGGTTCTGAGCAGCAGGCTGACGTCAGATCTGCCTTTTTGAAAGCTCACTCTGGCATATCAGAGGGTAGCGACCAGGCCCAAGGCAGGCAGGTAAGGCCGGGGGCTACGACAGCAATCTGGACACACCTAGATCTCAGAGGGTTTCCTTTTCTCACTATTGCAGTTATGAATACAGAGGTGCTCCGAGCCCAAGAAGAATGGGAAGCTGTGGACAGTATCCAGCCAGAGACAGGTAACTGCAGGGATGGTGCCGCCTCCTCACAGCCCGCTGCTGCTAAGCACGTGATCCACCTGTGCGGCTAATGTTCTGTGCCTCCGGGATTAGGATACAGAATTCCTGGGTCTTCTCGTTTTCAATACGTGACATAGGATAAAATCTCTTTTCCCAATTCAGAGATGATGCCATCGACCTCTGGAGGGAATGGGGATGAATGCCTTGGGGAGAGGGCCGCCAGCCGTGAGAGAAGACAGGGAGGACCTTGGTCAGGGTCAACTTCTGCAGGGTGATGAGGTCAGGCAGAGGACGGAGGCAGGCAGCCAGGACCCCTGTGTCAGGTCGCGCAGGTTCTTCACTATACAAGGAAGCCCCTGGAAATGGGGGCTGGAGCCATCTGCTGGAAGCCTCTGAGGGCTGCATCAAAAACTGTCTCTCGTGCCTTTCAGGAGGTTTGGATGGAGCTGCGGGAGGGGAGAACTGGGACCCAAATCTAGCCTGAGCCTCACTTGAGCTCCTGAAGAGATGTTAGAGTGGACTGTATCAGCCATCACCTGTATTGCGGACTGATGAGTCAGTACCCTGTGACGAAGGCTGGATAGGGGATCATTCGTATCCAGGGCGTGAGAAGGGGCAAAGCAGAAGATAGGAAAGGCCCCTAAACAAACCTGTAGCGTGCTCCTGCGTGGGTACCTCCTCCAGGCAGTGACTTGCCACCGCTCACAGATGAGTGGACATTAGGGGCCCTTGCAGATCTATCTCCACTCACTTCAGGGCTTAGCCTAGTCAGCCTCTGCACAGCCGGGTCCGAAAGGGAGTCAGCCCAGCAGATAACGCCACCCCCTTGACAGAGGAGGCTTGGTTGTAACTGTAGGTGTCTGATGTTTACAGCTGAAAGTCAGCGCTGGGCTTAGAGGTGGCAACCAGCGGCCCTCAGTAAATGTCTGCTGATAGAATGACTGCTGTTACAAGTGCCAGAGTGTCTTCCCTTTTGCCACAGGGAGCCGGGCCAGCTCAGACCAGCCTGGGCAGCTAATCTCTTTCATTGAGGCCCTCCAGCATTTCCAGACCGTGGACCTCTCTTCCTTCAAGGTATGACAGTAGGGAGGTTTGGGGGTCTCAAGCAAAGCACTTTCTTCCCAGGAGCCAGGTTTCTTCCCCACCAGGATAGGGCACTGGGCAAGCAAGATGGAAATTTCCAGGCGAGGGCTCGGTCTCGACTAAGAAATCTCGGGGCGCGGGATCACAAGTGGCCAAGGACCCACATGTCATGTGGGCCCCGGCGGCCTTTCAGGGACTGTGCCCCCAGAACTCTAGTGGCCCTGTCTTATAGGGGCCTGTGGAGCTGCTCCCTGCTCTCCCCTCCTAGGGATGGGGAGGTCTTCAGTCAGATGCTAGGGAGTTCCTTGGGGAAGCAGGGCAGCCTGTCCAGAGAGCTGAGTGATTCACTGCCACCGTAGGAAAATCTTCCATCCCCTAGAGGAACAAGAAGTTATTTGGGAATTTAAAAAATATGTGGGGTTGGAAAAAGAAAGAATATTAAGGAGTGTAAAAGCTGACAAGCTTTCTGGGGAATCTTGAGTGACCAGTAGTAAGTTTAGAGAACTGTGATTTCAGATCTTCAACCTAAAGCCTGGCTCAAGGAGAGAGGCTAAAAAGATAGGAATCAGATTGATTTGTAGGACGCAGAGATCCAGAGGCTGCCGAAATCAGAGTATCCTAAGCCCCGCGGCAATGGCTGTGAACACGGAGAAGTCAGCAAGAGCTCGTTTAGGCACTGCTGCTGTGGTGTGGACAGAAGGCGCCAGCTCCGCTCAGGGGTATCCTGCTCCAAAAAAGTGCCCACTGACTGTTTGTTGTTTGGCCGTGCCACGTGGCATGCGGGATCTTAGTTCCCCGACCAGGGATTGAACGAGCGCCCCTTGCATTGCAAGCGTGCAGTCCTAACCACTGGACCGCCAGAGAAGTACCCCCCCACTGACCGTCTTATCTTGGAAGTTGAGAGGGCTGTTAGATTTTATATTTATGTCCTTTACAGAGAGAGACAGACAGACATACAAAGGGTAGGAGCAGCACTGCTGGGAAACTTTGCCTGGCATCTGTGAGATGCCAGCCCCCATAGCCAGCCACCTCTAGCTTCCTTGGTAGTCAGTGACATAGCTATTTCTGGAAAAGCCCAGAGGACCACATGTAGACAACCGGATGATAATGCCTATGCTTGGGGACATCTCTCTCTACTTACAAAGAGCCTACGAGCTGGAAGAGCCTGTCTCCAGAGATTTGCAGATGCTTCACAGCTTCTGCCCCATTTCCCTGGCCCAGAGGCCAGCCAGTTAGTGGGAGAACCACTCCTTTCTGCAAGACCAGTCCTGTACTGAGCCTGATGGTGAGTTCATTAAAGCAAATGAACACAACACTCTGCCTATTGCCTGCACCTTCCTCCCCAGAAAAGAATCCAGCCAACGATCCGAAGGACCGGGCTTGCTGCCCTCCGGCACTGCCTCTTCGGGCCTCCAAAGCTCCACCAGGGCCTCCGTGAAGAAAGGGACTTGGTCCTGACCATCGCTCAGTGTGAGTGCACAGGTGTTGCCACAAGGCAGGCGCTGCGTGAGTGGTCAGGCAGAGAGCACAGTTTGCCTACCCGGTTGCTGAGACTAAGCCAAGGCTATTGCATTTACCATGTTGGGGGGAGAGCAGAGTGTCTGGAGCACCGGCCAGGTCTGTCTTGGCTGTACCGTTCTCTGGGAAGCACTCAGTCCTCCCGTGAGGGCCAATCCAACAGAGCATGGGTGTGTTTTGGGGCAGGTGGCCTGGATAGCCAAGACCCAATGCATGGCCGAGTCCTCCAGACCATCTATAAGAAGCTGACCGGCTCCAAGTTTGACTGTGCCCTCCACGGAGACCACTGGGAAGATCTGGGCTTTCAGGGTAAGAGAGAGGAATGGTTCATCTTCTCCCTGACTCCTCATTCCAGGACTAGCATGAGAACCCAGACAGTCCTCTTCCTGTCATGCCAGCACCATGAGACAGGATACTGGGGCAGAGCATTTCAGGAAGAGGGTACAGCAGATGCAAAGGCCCCGAGGTGAAATGTGTGTACCTCTTTCTGAGAAATAGCAAGGAGTGTGGCTGAAGTGGAGAATAGTTCACTCGGGGCCTTGCAGGCCAGTGTAAAATATTTACTCTAAGTGAGATAGAAAGCACGGGAGTGATAGGATTTCGAATCCAGTGTTTTCTTTTTATTCTTTTCTTTTACTATCGATGAAAATTTTTTTTTATATCATTTCATTTTTTTGAGTGAAACAAAATGATTTCACCTGTTTTGGGACTGTACATTTTTCCAAAATCATATCAAATTACATTTGTATAGAATAGGAAAATATCTTAATTTAAAAAGGAAACTTTATATACTCATAATTAATTGGTGCTCTGTTGGTACTGACAATGTGTTTAAGTCCCTTTACCTTCCTTCATCTGTAATATAATCGTCCTAGATATTCCCTCTGTGTACATTGAGAGTGACATCAGTGTTATGATTTTTGTTTCAACCGTTAATTGAAATAACTCAAGAGTCGAAGCAAGGTCTGTTGTATTTACCCATATATTTACTCTCTCCATTATTCTTTCTTCTGTTCTGATGTTCTAAGATTCCTTCTTTCATCACTTGCTTTCTGTTTCAGGAACTTCCTTTGGCCATTTTCTAAAGTAGGTCTGCTGGCAATGGATTCTTTAGCTTTCCTTCATCTGAGAATGTCTTGATTTCCCCTTCCCTCCTGAAGGATAATTTCTCTGAATGTAGAATTCCAGGTTGACAGGTCTTTTCTTTCAGCACGTGAAAATAAATGTGCTACTTGCTTTTGGCCTCCATGGTTTCTGGTGAGAAATCTGCTGTCACTTGAATTATTCCTCCTTGTTAGAGAAAAGTAGTTTCTCTCTCTGCTTTCAAGATCTTTTTTGTTTGTTTTTTTTCCTTTTGTTTGCAGGAGTTTGACCATGATATGTCTTAGTGGGGATTTCTTTGGGCTTATCTTATTAAGGGTTTGCTCAGCTTCTTGAATCTGTAGGTTTATGTCTTTGGCCAAATTTGGTAAATTTTCAGCCATTATTACTTTGAGTACTTTTTTCAGCCCTGCTCTTTCTCCTGCCTTGTACAACTCTGATGGCACAGATGCTAGATCTTCTGTTACTGTTCCATAGGTCCCAGAGGCTCTGTTCATTTTAGGGGGATCTCTGTATAGCTCAGAGGTCTCCAAGGCTCTGTTTATTTTGTTTTGTTTTTTCTCTCTATTGATCAGATTGGGCAGTTTATATTGTTCCATCTTCAAGTTCACTGGTTCTTTCCTCTTTGGTCTCTATTCTGCTGTTGAGCCCATCCAGTGAGTTTTTAATTTTAGGTATTATATTTTTCAGTTCTGAAGTTTCTGTTTGGTTCTTTACATCTGATATTTCTTTACTGAGACTTTCTGTTTTTTCATTTTTTTCAAATGTTTGTAATTGCTTATCAAAGGCATTTTTATGATAGCTGCTATAGTAGTTTTCTATTGTTGCTGCAGAAAATTACCACAAATTTAGTGGCTTAAATCAACACAGATTTATTATCTTCTAGTTCTGTAGTTCAGAAGTCTGACACAGTCTCACTGGGGCAAGATCAAGGTGGCAGAGGGCTGCATTCCTTTTTGGAGGCTCTAGGAGAAAATCTATTTCTGTGCCTTTTCCACCTTCTAGAGTCCGCCCACGTTCCTCCTCCTTCAGAGCCAGGAACACAGCATCTCTCTGAGCTGATTCTGTCCTCACATCTCTTTTTCTGTGCTTCTACCTCCCTCTCTCACTTTTAAGGATTCTTCTGACTACATTGGGCCCAGCCAGATAATCCAGGATAATCTCCCTATCCTGATTAGCAACCTTCATTCTAACTGCAATCTTGATTCCCCCTTGCTGTGCAACAGAACGTACTTGTAGGTTCTGGGGATTAGGACGTGGATATCTCTGGAGGTGCCAGTTATTCTGCCTAGGACAGCTGCTATAAATTCCTTATCAGGTAATTCCAACATATGTGTGATCTCAGTGTTGCTATCTGTTGATTGTCTTTTCTCATTCAAATTGAGATTTTCCTAGTTCTTGGTGTAATGAGTGATTTTTTATTGTGTCCTAGATGTTGTGGGTATTATGTAATGACAGTGTTGATCATCTTTAAATCTTCTATTTTAGCAGGCCTCCTCTGACACTGGGCAGTGGGGGAAGGGTGATGTCACCTCATTACTGCCAGGTGGGGATAGAAATCCAGGTATCCCACTTGACCTCCACTAATACCACTGGCTGGGTGGGGCAGGGGTGCCTCATTGCTGTTCCCATGTAGCTTCCACTGATGTCACGAAGGGTGTGGTGGGCTCCTTAGCACTAGAGAAGGATAAAAGTCCCAGCTCCCCGCTTCTTTGAGTGCCTTGGCAGAGCTGAGGGGCACCTTGTTACAGTCAGGCAGGGGAAGTCTAGGCTCTCCACTTGGGCAGTGATCAAGGTAACCAAGTCATTGAATCTCACAGAGCAGGGATTTCATTAAGCACCCTGAATTTCCTCTTGGTTTTTGTTTTAGGAACAAATCCAGCCACAGACTTGAGAGGAGCAGGCTTCCTTGCCCTCCTGCATCTCCTGTACCTGGTGATGGACTCAAAGACCTTGCTGATGGCCCAGGAGATCTTCCGCCTGTCTCGTCACCATATCCAGGTGGGGCTTTGGTGGGAAGCCAGCAGAGAGGGCTGTAGGGGCTAGGACCTGGGCACAGGGCTCTCCTGAGTAACCATGACAGCTTCGCAGGTAGATCTCCAATTGCTGAGGGCCCTCAGGACAGCTGAGGCAAACTGGGCATGGGCATCCCTGTCACCCTGACCTGGCTGGAATCTGATAGTGTGTGTCTCAAGCAAGTGCCTCAACTCTTCAGGGCCTTGGTTTCCTCATCCATAAAGAGGAAATCATGGAAACGTCAGCTGGATAGTTGGGAAAATTAAATGAGGCAATGTACAAAAGCGCTAGACACAACTGTGGTACCAGCGTCTCAGCTCACTGCCCGCCCAGTATTGGCAGGTTCTCCTGACCCTGGAGGAGGGGGGTCAGCCTTTATTTGCCCAGAGAAGAAGGTTTGCCTCCAGGTGTCAGATAACACATGGACTTGCTCAAAGGCCAGAAGTGGCTCCTATAGCCCTCAGGTTCTGTCCAGGCCTGCTCTCCAGGGTTGGTGTGATGGTTTTCCCCTGTAGTAAAAGGTGTAGTCCCTCCATTTAGAAAACATACTTGACCTGTTTCCTGCCATTCATCTATCCCAGGTTCATGGGGCCTGGAATTCATTCATGTACTAAACAGGTATTTATTTAGGATTCCCTGTGCTAGTTATTGTTCTTGGCGCTTGGGAAACATCAGTGAGCAAAACAGACAAAGATCCTTCTAGCAGAGAGAACAAGACAGTAAGCCTAATACATAAATAAATTATAGAGTATGTTAAAGGTGGTAAGGGCTAAGTAGGCAAGGTTAGGAGAATGTGGGAGGATTACAGTTTTATGGGGTATTAGGGTAGCTCTCACGAGAGGGTGAGACTTAAACCAAGCCTTGAAGGAGGTGAGGATGTTAGCCAAGCTTGTATTTGGGGGAAGAGCATTCTGCACAGAGGGGGCAGCTAGAGCAAAGGTCCCAAAGGAGGTGTATGTCTGGCATGTGCAGGAATGGCAGGGAGGCCAGCTGGAACAGAAGGGGCAGGGAGGGCAGTAGGAAGGAGGTGATGGGGTAACAGGGACCAGATGGTGTCGGGCCTGGTAGGCTATGATGAGGATGTTTGCTTTTACTCTGAGTCAAATGAGGGTTTTGAACAGCCTGGGGTGACACGATCCAACTTACATTCTTAAATGGATCCTACCAGCCGTTGGGTTGAGCATAGTCTCTGGTGAGGGCTTTTGTAATTAAGTTAGAGATGATAGTGATCTGGACCAGGGTATTTTCAGAGGAGGCGTTGTGAAGTGATCAGATTGTGGATATAGAATCTTGAGCGTATGGGCTGTAGAGAATAGAGCCAGCACATTTTTCGAATGGATTGGGTACAGGTGTAAGGAAAAGAGGCATCAATGGTGATTTTTAGCTTGAGCAGCTGGAAAGACAGAGTGGCCACCAACTGAAATGGAAAAGAAAGAGCGAGGGTGGGGGTGGTTCCATCTGCCATATAAATTTTAGACTGAGGTTATGCGTTTGTTTGTTTCATACATTTATTTATTTATTTATTTTTGGCTGCGTTAGGTCTTCGTTGCTGCACGCAGGCTTTCTCTAGTAGCAGCGAGTGAGGGCTACTCTTCCTTGTGGTGCGCGGGCTTCTCACTGCAGTGGCTTCACTTGTTGCAGAACACGGGCTCTAGGCACACAGCCTTCAGTAGTTGTGACACGTAGGCTCAGCAGTTGTGGCGCACGGGCTCTAGAGCGCAGGCTCAGTAGCTGTGGTGCACGGGCTTAGTTGCTCCGCAGCATGTGGGATCTTCCCGGACCAGGGCTCAAACCCGTGTCCCCTGCAGGCGGATTCTTAACCATCGTGCCACCAGGGAAGCCCCAGGTTATGCGTTTTTGACAACTACAGAAGTGATGTACCTCATGTCAGGAGCACCCATGTCAACATGTCTTATTTACTGGTGAAGTTAACCCTGGGCACATGGTTAAGGGGATATCAGCCAGGTTTCTACGCTGTAAAGTTACTATTTTTCCCTTTGTAATTAATCACTGTCTTGGAGGAAGATACTTTGAAGCTATGCAAATATCCTGTTTTTCCTCAAACTTGGTTCTAATAGTGATTTTGTTTCCCTCATTCCTCCTACATTTATTAATTTTTAAATTTATTAATTGGAATTCTTCTGTAAGAAAGAATTGTCTTTGCTATTTATTGATTCAGGTACTTTTTATATCCACATGGACTCAGATTTTTATTTTATTCTATGGAATATAACCCAACACTTTTATTATTTATTTTGTTGCTAAAATTGTTCCCATGTCGACCTTTTTTTTTTTTTTTTTTTTACATCTTTATTGGAGTATAATTGCTTTACAGTGGTGTGTTAGTTTCTGCTTTATAACAAAGTCAATCAGTTATACATATACATATGTTCCCATATCTCTTCCCTCTTGCATCTCCCTCCCTCCCACCCTCCCTATTCCACCCCTCTAGGTCCCATGTCGACCATTTTAAGAGCTCTTTCAGGTGGTACCTGTGCCCTTTCAGCATGCCCTGTCCTTTTTTGAGCATTTTTCTACTTTCTGGATCCTAAAGATGCTCTAGGCTCTTGTATTTTCCCTGAATGATTCCCAGCCCTGAGATAACCACTTCTCCAAAGAGCTCTTGTTCTTTAGTTGGAGAATGATATTTGGAAACCAAGATCTGAGTGCTGGGTGTTCTCACTGGTATTAAGATCTCACTGCTTCTAGGCCCTCTCAGTGTCCAGAGCTTGGAAAATATGTATGTGTCACTGGTTCCCTCCTGACTCTGAAAGGAATGGTCTCCAGTGGTGAGCAGACCTGCCCAGGCCCCAGCAGCACTTCACAGAGAACAGGAGGGGGGGTGTGATGCTGCCTGAGGGAGAGGAGCTGAGAATGAGTGGCTGAAGATCAGAGCCGCAGCATTTTCTTCAGGTCATTGTGTCTTCGAGCTGGAGTCAGGCCAGCCTGCACTGCAAAAACAGACTGTTCCGGTAACTGTGTTGTTGGTCATATTAGTTAATTCTCAGAACCTCAGCTTCTTCCTTTGTAACATGAGAAAATAATCCCAACTCCGTAGACTTGTTCTGAGTTGGAGAAAAACTGTGTAAAGTACTAAGCACATTAGTCATTCAAGGAGTGTTAGTTATCAAAGTAGCTTTTGATTTCTGTGAGCAAAAGTACATTTTATATACATCTTATAGATAATACATGCATACGTAAATACATCTTGTGTTTTCAAAATCATATCTGCACTTGCGCCTGCACACACACACACAACACATACATCCACACATATACACACAGCCATTGTAAGGTAAGATAGATCCATTTTGAATCTAAAACTTCTTGACTACAAAACAAATAGTCACACAGTTCCTGCCACCTGGGCAGTTTTTCATTTCGTTCACTGCCTATCTCTGTTATCTTTTGAGGAAAAGTACCCATTAAACCTGACGGTTTCACGTACGCCCATCTCTTCCAGGAGACACTGGAGGAGGCAAGAGGGGACTTCGTGAGGATCTGGTCTTGAGGTATATCAGGACCCATGAGTTGAGAATGTGGGCGTATTCTGTGCTCTTCACGATGCGGGGAGGTAATGTCTGGGTCAGGTTTGAGAACCGGACCAGTTAGCCTATGAAACAGTGCAGTCTCTTGTAGCGACGCTGCTTTGTTATAGGAGGCCCAGAGGTTGAGGCATATCTTAGCAGTCACTGGGCCAGCCCCTTGTTGTAGAGACAGTGAAGACCCAGAGAGGGGAAATGGCTTGCCCAAGGTCCCCCAGCTAATGAGTATTTCCTAGAAATCATCTCTGACCTCAGTGCCTCCCTTCTTCTGGTTTTTGAAGGCTCTCTTGTAAGATCTTCCTGCAGAAATATGGAAGCCAGGGTAGAGGGTTAGTGCCAATTCAGCATCCCTCATTCGTTTGCAAGGACAGGCTTGACTGAGGTGAGGGGGTAGGTCATTGGATATCTGAGGGAGGAACGTCCCAGGCAGAGGGAAGAGCAAGACGAGAGAGGAAGCCCTGGGTACTTGATCTGGGTCCGGACCAGCCTGACCACTTTGACCAATCTGTTTCTCATCCCTTCACCTGCTGGCCTCTGTGGAATTTATTGTGGATTTATATTTACTCCACAACATGCATGTCAGACAATAAGAAGGAATAGCAGCTTAAAATAATAAAATAAGAGGGCTGGTGTAGGTGTAGATCCTAGTTCCATCTGCAGTATCATTACTTAGCTATGATTTGAGGCAAGCCACCTAGCCTCTCTGGGCCTCCCTTTGCTGTTTTATGAAACAAGAGATTTGGCCTAAATGATTCTAAGGTCTCTTCCGGCTTTATGATTCCTTGAACTCTTAAGTAACTCCAAAGTTTAAAGGAAAACTTCACCTCAAGCCCTTAGGAATCTTGAAAATACAGTTTTCCAGGAGGCACGTAAGAGACCAGAGTAACAGTTGGGGGACTCAGACCTGCCAGAAGCCAGTCCTGTCTCTTCCCTAAGGAGAGGGCTGAGGTCTCAGGTACCTGTGGTACATCCTACTAAAGGGGAATTGGCCAGAAACTACAGATGCTGGGGGAGCCCAGGACTCCATGGACGTGCATGGTCCACACTGTGCTGAGGAGGAGGAGTGCTACAGTTCAGATGCCGAGACGCAGGCCGCATCTGGCTGATTGCTGGCAGGCAGGGAAGCCCCTCACAACAGTAGTTACTCGCAGACAACAATTTGTATAGCTTTCCTTGCAGTTTCCATCTGTTGTTTCATTCCATCAACATGACAAGCCTGCGAAAAGGTAGGGCAGAGGTGATCCTTGTAAATCTTCATTTCCCGGTGAAGGAACATGAAGATATTACAGACCAATATCGCTGATGAATATAGATGAAAAGATCCTCAACAAAATACTAGCAAACAGAATCCAACAACACATTAAGGATCATACGACAACAATTTGTATAGCTTTCCTTGCAGTTTCCATCTGTTGTTTCATTCCATCAACATGACAAGCC